AATGGCGTTTAATGCACACACAGACATGTAAAACATAATGGCAACTTTTTGGGCTCAGAGTTACAGATCCCACAAACTACTCAATTAGGCTATTTGTTACAAGAAATAACAGCTTATCTACATATCACCTGTGTGTATGCTACATGTCACATGATTGCCATTAAGATCAAATAAGACAGAAGAAATAGGGGTTGGCACCACACTCCACTTTGGTGGCCCGGGTTTGGGGGTTGGATCCTGGGCAGAGACCCCATACCACTCATCAGCCATGCTGTGGAGGCATCCCACATGTAAAATGGAGGAAGATTGGCACAGATGTTACCTCAGGGCTAATCTTCCTCAAGTAAAAAAAAACAAGAGGATTGGCAACAGATGTTAGGTCAGGGCTAATCTTCCTCAGCAAAAAAAAAAAGATAGAAGAAGTAAAATCCTTGGAAATGCTAAAGAGGGTGCAAAGAAATGGAAAGTCCAGTATGAGCATCATTGTAGTGAGCTGGCTAGTTCTTAGTGCCTGCTATGTACAGCACTGCCACTGAGCCATGAGGGGCTGTGTGACAACGGCCACTCATTCTACAAAGATTTATCTGGTATCATAGATGGTGAGGACATAGCAGTGAACAAAACAATCAAAAATTGTTGTCCTCATGGAAGTTATATTCTTGCAAGGCAAGGGTAATAAATAAATAAACAAGCAAACATATAGGATGACAGATGGCGAAAAGTGATGTGGGAAAAATGAAGCAGGGAATGGGCACAGGAAACGTGAGGATGGCTGAGATGGGTGGGGAGAGAGGCCTCTCTGGTGAGATGACATTTCCGTGGAGACTGAAGGAGGAGAGCAGGCCAGCGTGTGGATCGCTGAGGAAAGGGCATCTCAGACAGGAAGGGCAGCAGGGGTGAAGTCCTCCCGTGGGAGGGGGTTTGCACTGTTGGAGGCCCAGCAAGGAGGTCACTGAGGCTGGAGAGGAGGAGAGAAGGGAAGGTGCTAGGAGATAAGGCCAGAGAGGAGCGGGGGGTCACAGAGGGTCCTGTGGGGCTCTGGGTCTCACATGGTGAGTTTGGGAAGCCTAGGAGGGTTCTAAGCAAAGCAGTGACACGTATTTTAAGAGGACCATTTTGGCTGCTGTGTTAAGACGAGGCTGTGACAAAGGGCAAGGGTGAAAGTGGAGAATCTTGTCAGGAGGCTACTGTGATAATCCAGGTCAGAGGTGACGGTGGCTGGCCCTGGAGTGGAGGTGGACGTGGTAAGAAGCAGTGTGATTCTTGATATATTTTGAAGGTATGGCTGATCGGATTTTCTGATGGACTGGACACAAAGGGTGAGAGAAAGAAATAGGTCAAAGGTTTTGGCCTGAGTAACTGGAAGGATGAGGCTGATGTTTACCAAGATGGGAAAGACTCTGGGAAGATTGGGAGTTCTGTTATGGATGTGGTAAGCTCGAGATGCTTACTAGATATCTGATGTAAGAAGGTATACAAGTCTGCAGCTTAGAGGAGCAGTCTGAGCTGGTGACATCCAGTTTGTAGTTATTAGAAGATATATAGTTGATATTTAATGCCACAAGATGGACATGATAACCAAGGACTGAGTGTAGATAGAGGGGAGGTCCAAGGATTGAGCGTGGAGCTCTCCGATGTTAAGAGGATACGAAGATGAGGGGGAAATCAGCAAAGGATTCTGACGATGAAAAACAAGTGAAGTAAGGACAGAACTAAGAAAGAACTGTGTCCCAGGAGCCAAGTGATGCTAATCTGGTTCAAAGACAGGAGGTGACCAGCTGTATCCAGTGCTGTGACAGAGCAAGTCAAATGGCACCGGAGAGAAATGACCAATGGATTCAGTAACGTGGAAATCATTGGTGGTCTTAACAAGAGAAGTTTAGTGCAATAGGGGAAAAACTCTGACTGGAATAGATTCAAGAGAAAACTGAGACGGCAAGAATTGGAGGTAACAAACAGAGGCAACTCTTTTGAGGAGTTTTGCTGAAATATAAAAGGAGGCAGCAGGCATTTGTCTAGATCTGCAGTTGGAGGAGATATTGCCGATGCTCTCCTGGACGACGTCAGCCAAACTGGTACAGGCACTTGCCCACCTGTCTACACACTTTACTATCGAAAAAGTCACAGACACTAGTCCAGTGAGAAAGACAGAAAGGCTAGCCCTTTCTTTAAGCTCCCCAAAGGGCAACTCTCTTTCCATCGGTGACCCACAGGAAACAAGGCAGAGTTGTTAGCCCTACGCAGGAGCATGAAGCTACCTGCAGGGCTGCCCACAATAGCAAAACCATCTCAGTGCCATCATCTTTAATGACAAGATATCCTCCTGAGCTGCGTGGAAGGTAACATCAGGGCCTTCTATTCAAGGTGCTATATCAGGTCTTCATCTTCTTGAGGAGAGAATCCCAAGGTGTGTCACCTCTTCCCGACCACCACAGAGCAGCTCCACCAGTATTTAAATGCAGGTGCAGACAGGACACCTTTAGGAAGTTTCTTCTACAATGGAACTCTAGCTACTCCATCTGATCCAGTCTCCCTTTTCATGCACTGAAGCATGAGTGATTCTCAACCATATGGGTCTCTAATTAAGAATCTCTGTATCAGAGTAATGATGGTAGCTATTTCTATTAATAACAATCTCCTTAATCTCTCTGTGATCGATTGCACTGTTTGTACAATTATCCCCACCCATGCTTCTCTGGAGGTACAGTATACTTCTTTGTCCCATTATCTTTGGGACAAAGATGGCATGTGACTTGCTTTGGCCACTGGAATGTAAGCAGTTATGACAGAAGCCACATTTGAGCAAAAGTCTAAAATACGTTTGTGTGGTTTAGCTCTGTGCCCCCTTTGTGAGCATCTGCCCTCTGCCATGAGAACAACCTGGCCTACATACTGGATGCTTCTTCAACGTGGGCTTTGGAAGGAGGTGACACGCAGAACCAGCCCAGAGCCCAGCTGAGCCCAGAAGAGCTGCACTGGCCAACATCCTCAGGTAACATGAGCCAGGCATAAACGTTTCTGGTTTTAAGTCACTGAGGTTTGGGATTATTTGTTCCTGTAGCAAAAGCTGACTGACACACTCTTTTATTAGACTGTCAAATTCCTCAGGTGAAAGGAGCATATTCATTCTTTATGGTACGTCGTCATACCCGGCACAGTGCTCTGAAACTGTGGGCCCCCATAACGGGGTACGATTCATTACACCCATTGTAGCTTTGTTGGCTCAAGTTTGGAATCAAATTGTAGTTCTTTTCATGACACATCATAGTAAGCTCCTTAAAGACATGTTTAAAGTCACTCTCAGCCTGCCTTCTCATTCCTTGATTTTGGTCTATTGAATTATGGCTAATTTACCAAGAAACTCAAATAATTTAGGCTTCACAAAAGGGGAATTGGGCCTTGGCCATTATATGCACTGCTTCTACTCCTACGTGCCCAAAATTGGTCAAGGCCAAATAGAGAGGATCTGTTCTAAACGCGTTTGTGTGTCTTTGCTCTCTGTTCACTTCTGAGCTTAAGACAGAACACGAGCTTTGCCCAGGGGGCCCGACTGCACAGAGAACAGCCCAACTCTTATCTTCATTTATCCAGTAAATTACCCTACTGTGTGGAGAGACCATTCTAGGCTTTGTGCAGGAATCAGAGACAATCTAAGGCATAGTTCTGGGCATCAAGGGGCTTTATACTGTGATGGAAGAGACAAGACATTTATGTGAAAGTCTAACACACGAGCTGTATACCACTTACTTCCTTACAAGAGGGTGTGTGGCATGGTAGGAAAGAGAGGGTCTGTAAGACGGGAGACCTGGTTCTAGCACTGCTCTGCTGCTGATTAATTAAGTTCCTTTGGGAAGAGCATCCCACCATTCTGTGAATGTACGAAAGGCACTGAGCAGGCTAATGGAAGGTCACTCACACTTCTGTGCTTTCATGACTCTAAGAGATATCACCAAGCATTGTAATGTCACCAGGTGCTCAGTGCTTGGTACTGGTGTCAAAGGCTGGGTATTCAGAGGACCTCTTTGTTTTGCTGTCCCCTGCCCCCATGTCCAAGCTAGACTGGTTTCAGCCCAGTCATAGAGCTCTCCTCTGCCCTGAGTTACAGGCCAGATCTGAAGGAGCGATGACTTGAGAGTGAAAAATCTCAGCACACAGTCCAGAATTATGCTGGATATCACCACTTGAACAAGGAGGACTGGAAGGAGGAGCCCTCCGAAAGCTGCCTTAGCCCCCAGGAGCAGCTCGGGCCGGGGTTTGCTGGAGCTGATGCTGGGTGCCCAAAGCTGCTGTGTTCTGCACTGGGGCTCACCCACGATGGGACAGGCTTCTGGAGGAGGGGTGGAAGAGGCGCTGTCCCCAGGACTGATACCTCGATAGACATTATCTCTCCAATGCCCTTCTGCCTGATTCACAGAGTTGAACACCCTGCAACCCTCAGGCAAAACCAGTTCTCCCAGTGACAGGCAGCGTGCCCATAAATAGGGCTTCTGAGGCCGGAACTGCCCCATTTGACATGAAAGGAGGAGAGGGCTGGGAGAAATGGAAAAAGAACTTTTCGTACATCCTCTGAAGCTTTTCTGATTGTTCTTTGGAAAAATACAGAAAGTAGAGACAATCCCATTGGCTGAAACACCCTGCGACCCTGGGGGTGAGCTGTCTCTGCTCACCTGGCTCTCCTGCTGTAAGTGTGTTAAACTCCCAGCCCAGGGCCCGAGGGACTGCTCAGACAGCCATGGGATTGCTTTCTCTGTGCAAGCCATCTTCCTCTGGCTGTGCAACTGCTATGATTTTTTCCAGGTGTTTACAGGAGCAGGGACCACAGTGTTTTAATGGATTCACATTGGAGTTGAGTTCTTAGAAGCAAAGGACTTCATTTAAGAAAAAACCCTCCGTGTATGTGAAATCAGGCTCCTCTGCAAAGTGCTCTTGGCAATTCAGCAAAGGGCAGCGGAGGGCGGTGGGAGGACAGCACTGTACACAGGGAGGACGGCTCTACTTACTTGGGACTCCGGACACCAGCCGCAAGGGGCGCAGCACGCGGAAGGCCCGCAGCGCCTTCACGTCGAATCCAGCCCCCTTCCCGCCCAGAGCGTTGGCCCCTTCGGCTTTGGTGGCTTGTTCTAAAATTGCACTGAAAAGCCTGGAAGAGAGAGGAGAGGAGCCGTCAGGATGTTTTCTCTGCTCGGCTGGCTCTGAATTCTCTGAAGGGAGCTGGGGCAGCAGAGTTTGCAGGCATCTCCAGCCCAAGAACAGGGCTGAGGTGTCTGTGACCGTGAGGGAGGGTCCGTGACCATCGTAAGGTGACATCCCCTTCGCGTGGGTATCACCAGGCAAGGGTGTACCCACTGCCCAGAGAGGTCTGAACCAGGTGACAGGCAGGCCCTCTGCTGTCACAACGCTTTGCAGGAACACATCTGGCTTTGTGAGTTGGGCAGCCCTGGACAGAAGTGTGAAGCAGGTGACGCTTGCTGCCAGTGCCCCGTGGCTTTGCGGTGCCCTCTGCCCTCCATGGTATCCTAGCTCTCGCCCTCACATGGCCAAGAATCACATTTTCTCTCCTCCCCACCCACCTCCTTCCTCCTAGCAAACCCCTCTCTTTGATTTGTACCTGGGCACAAATAAATGATCCCAGAGGGACCTACTTTGTGCTGCAGATACAGGATGGGAAACTGACCACCGGTCTTAGCAATGAAGACTATTGAGACCTTGAAAACATCTGTTTTGGTGGAGTGATGGAGACAAAGCCTAATAGGTATGGGTTCAACAGAGGATAGGAGGAGAAGTTCGAGACAGTTCTGCACAATCGAAATATAATGCAAGCCACAACTATGAGCCAAACATGTAATTTAAATTCTCTAGCAGCCACCTTAGAAAAGTAAAAAAGAAATAGGTAACCTTAACTGTGATGATATATTTTATTTAACTCAACATAACCAAAATACTGTCATTTCAACTGTAATAAATATAGGAATTTTTAATGAGATGTTTGTCACTTTCTGTTTTGTACTAGGATCTTTCAAATCTGCTGGGTATTTACACCTATAGCGTATCTCATCTCAGACCAGCCACATTGCTAGTGCTGAATGGCCACATGTGGCTGGGTGGCTGCAGCACAGACAGCTCTTCTGAGGAATTTTGCTGTAAGAGGTGGTAGAAGAAAGGTGGTTGCCAGAAGAGGGTGTGGAATCACGAGAGTTTTGTTTGTTTTTAAATGGGAGATATGGCAGCATTTTTAAATGTGATGGGAATCATCTAACAGAGACAGTTTGAGGATGTGGAGTGGGAGGGAACAGCTACTGGGAGGATTAACACCTCCAGTGGGCAGGAAGGGGAGCTAAGGCCCTTCGAGGGGCGCTGGGCGCAGGTAGGCACAAGGATGGTTCCGGTAGGAAGGCACATGGCAGGTATAGAAGTGGCTGTGGGAACGTGTGAGAGCTCTCTTCTGATTGCATCTGTTTTCTCAGGGGAACAGGCAACAAGCTCATCCACTGAAAACGTGAAAGGGGAGGGGACATTGGAAGTTTACAGGGCGAGGCAAAGGTATGAAAGAGTCACTGACAAAAGTGGCAGAGTGAATGAAGCAGGGACACGTAGGACTGCCACGTGTCATCAAGGGCCTGTTTGAGGCTGGTGTCATGACTGTAAAGGAAGACCCCTCAGCTCAGCCTTGTATACCTCTCTACCCCTTTCAACGGCACAGCTTCAGGTACCAAATAGATCTCCATCTAGTTGGATCGATCAGGGTCGATCTTTTTCCAAGTGAGCAAAGTAAATGAAGAGAGGAATAAGAAAGTTGAGTGTAAATGCAAGCGAGAGATGATAGTGATGGGGCATCAATCTAGGCTGCTTGGAAGGAGCAGTGGACACGATGAGAGGAGGAACACAGAGAACGTGGCAGGATGAATGGGCGGTTGGAGTTGAGTGCTAGAGGGAGTCAGCTGGAAAGAGGGTGGCATTGTTCAGAGTGGGATGTTTGCTTTGAGACTGTGGGAGGTGGGGTAGTTATTAATTATGGCAGGGACACTGGCTATAGCCATGGGAGTGGGCAGCTGAGATAGGATGGAGTCAGGATCCCTGGGTAAAAAGGTATCAAGGAACCAAGAAGCTACTGGAGGGTGATGGCAGGAGCTGTGAGTGTTGGAGAGAGTGGGAGCGAGCCAAGAGCTCATGTCCTCCAGGAGTGAGGAGTGACTCAGATGTCTTCAGAGGACTGCAATAAGGAGAAGTAGGGGGTAGAAGGGTCCAATGACACAAACATTGGAATTGGAGGTTTTCAGGGAGGAGGGGCAGTGGTCCAAAAGAAGAAATAAAAGGAAAGCAGGGCCTTTCTCCTGACTTCTAGGCCACGCAACAAGCCATTTGGGAGAGAGGCAGCCATCTCTCGAGGGACTGCAGTGGAAGCAGGACCCTCAGGTGAGAGCCAGAACGTAAAGGGAGTGACCAGAAATGATGCTGGGGATTTAGGGCAGCACTTGGGCCACTTGTTCTGTAAATAAAGTTTTATTGGAATTTAGCAACAGCCATTGTTTACATAGTGCTGTTTTCTCACTACAGAGTTGAGTAGTTGGGACAAAGACTACATGGCTGGCAAAGCTGAAAATCAGTATCTGGCCTTTTACAGAAAATGTTTGTTGACCCCTGAATGGACTGTGGGGAACAGAGGGCACTGTGGAAAGGTTTTAGGAGTGGGGTGGTGAGGGCAAAGGGATCAGAGGCTGTAGAGATCATATGGGAATGGGAGTCTAGAATCTTGGGATTTTTGTGCTAACCAACAAAAACACGGAAAGGGCATGCAGGGGCAATTTCTGTCCTTTGTAGCCAGAGAAGACTCTGCTGATTCACCGTCAGCAGAATGTGTGCTGCGTCGTGGCCTGGGGTCAAGGAGGAAGCCCAGGCATCAGACCAGGGTCCCCATGTCAGACCTGAACTCGGTGCCAGCACAACTTTGTTCTTGAGGAACAGGCTCGAGCTCTTAAATCACTCATGCCCCAGGGAACTGGATCTGGAAACAGGGAGGCTGCAGCTGGGGGCTTTGCTTTGCAGACGCCCAGATCCAGGCAGGGCCCAGCAATGAGGGGGTTGGTCTAGATTAACGATTTTCAAACTGTGCTCCATGGGACCCCTCAGGACTTCTTGGTCAGTGAGGCCAGAGATGAGTGACTTGGGTTCTGGCTCCTTTACCCTAGATGGAACAGAGTGCTTCACGCACTGAGCATGGCTTTGTTGGAACAATGGGTTCTGCAGCTAAAAGAAGTTTGATAACCTGGCCAGACCACATCTACAGTCTCCCTCAGCTCTGGGGTTCTTTCACCTCAGTGTGGCAGTGTGACGGTTTCATGTGTTAGTTGGCGACACCTTGACTCCCAGGCAGAGGTTGCCAGGATGGGGAGAGCGGGATCTTTTCTCCGCAGAGAAATGTTCTTTCCACTGAAATCTAGATCACTGAAACCTTAGGAAATGAAGACCAGTTTGGAAGTTTGTGGAACAACATTCCAAATGCAAACCAGATTTGGTTCCTAGTATTTCCTGGAAGAAAGCAATATGCTCATTGGAGTACAAGACGTTCATAAAACACCACTCAGTGAAGGGAACAGACATTGGACAACATTCTCCTCTTTTAACCCCTGCCCCAACTCAACGTAGACTCTATTAAGTGTCGCTTTTAATTTTGAAGGGGTAGGAAATTCAGAATGGGTCTAGGAGGCGTTCTTGGCTTGTAGGGGCTGGTGTGTTTCTCTTCGCTTAGACATCGTAAAGGTGAAACCACTGCTTTGTGCCTACCTGTCCCTAAGGGCTGGGTTCAGATGTGGACGCTCAGGGGGTGGGGAGGACTTCTCCAGGAGATGTGTCTGGCAGTTCCTTAGCCAGATATTAGAGCTTTTTAAAAGAGGACAATGAGGCTCTAGAGGGCCCAGCGAGTCAGCAGGGCAGGGCCGCCATATTGGGAGGGAGATAGGCATATAGCCAAAGCCCTTGTGGCTGGAGTAGAATGTCTGGAGCAGGTGGGTCTACTGAGGATTCCCTGGTTCCTGGGTTCGGGTGTGGGGAGGTGGCTCACACAGGCCTCTGAAGTCCCCTCCACATTTGTTCAGCAGTCCCACCTCCCCTTTGTACCAAGGAGACTCCTTCACTTTAGGAAGGAAACATGACAGGTTTGTGGGGGGAAGTAAATGCCTCTTGTTGCCAGAATGGCAATGCAGAGATGATGGAGCGGCGCTTAGCCTGGCACTGAGGCAGCAGGTAGGCAGGCCCCCTTCCCCAGCAGAGGCAGACTCCCCTCCAATTTGTAGGAGGCTAGAAGAAAGCTTCCCTCAGTAGAAGCACAGGAGGGGCCGAGTAGAGCAGTTATTTCCTAGGGGACAAAGGAAAGCAAAGGGCAGGCAGTAATGCTGCCAAGGGGCAGGGAAAGGAGGCGTGGCCCAGGAGGCGCGGTGGGCTGCACCCTCTGTGCAGGCTGTATGTGTCATTTTCTGAGTGAGAAGGATGGGCTGAGATTTAGACTAGATGGAGAGCCTGCAGGACCAATACTGTTGGAGAAGAGAAACTAGGTGGCAAATATGGCCAAGTGTGAGATCAATGGGGAAAAAAGCCCAAAGAGTCATGGTGAACCACAAGCTGAGCAAGTGCTAGCATCACAACCTCTGTGGCTTAAACAGTCAACCAGAGGCATCTTTTCTAAGAGTGCCAAATCTGGATGCCTCCCGCTCTTCAACAGCCTCTCGGTCCAGACCCCAGCGAGGTGTGACTAGACTCTGGGCTCACCCCATGGAAAGTCTGCCTCTGTGGTTGTGGGGAGGAGCAGCAGTCCAAGAGATGAAGCAAAGCCCAAACAAGCTGGAGACGAGAAAGGTGGCCAAGTGTGCAGCTGCATGGCAAGGCGCTGCTCCCTCGCTCCCAGGGCTCCAGTGTGAGGTCTGCCCTGCTGCTTGTTTCCACCGCCCATGCTGCAGTTAAGGCCATGAATGGGCTGAGCATTATATAACGTCAACTCCAGATCACCCCACAAACATGAGAAGAAGATTAGCTTCTCTGCCTAAACAGAGCAGCTCCTGCAACGCAAGCTCATCCCTGTCCGTCCTGGAAGCATCGCTCTCCTTCCTGGGGCTCTTCTCTATGCAAGTGTGAAAGGCTTCCAGGAGACTTGGGCCTTAAGAAAGAGGCTGAATTTCAAAAGGATTTCAGGGCATTTGGAACAACCCACCCTGAAGACTTCTGCTGTGGTTTTACTGACTCAATTCAGGGCACTTGTTCAGTCCCTGTTTGTTTATCCTGGCATGAACAGAAGCAGAAAAATCTCTCATTTGGCTGCATCCTCACCCTAAGTCCTCTGGAGCCAGATCTATACATGGAAATACTCTAAAAACTTTAGTGCTCCTCACGTCACCCAAATATCCCTGATGTTCATGTGGCCAAAGTGTGTCATTCACTGGCTAGGCAAAAGAAGACAGCAAAGAAAAAGTCCTAAAATAGTTCCAAACAACCCTAATAAGCCATCCAGATGGCCAGAGACAAGGAAATAACTTCTAAATGATCTTGATTTGCTCCTGTGTCATTTCCCGCAGGAACAACCAGACACTCCCGTGAGATAATGAGCAGCGAGTGCCAGAGAAGTCCACCAGGGCCCGCACCTTCACTGGGACGGCACAGGAGGACTCACCCAAAACAGCTTCCTGGGATAAGAGCCTAATGACATATTGACCTTGACACTGAAGCCTGCCGGGACTCCAAGGGAGTGAAAACGCCAGGTGGCCGCCACTTAGCCACTCTCTGGGCTCAGAGTAACGGGATCAGCTCAAAGCAGTCAGCTTGTTCTAGAAGTAGACTCTGCTGTGAAGGTACCCTCCCGCTACAGAACAGATGAGTCGTTGGGACTTCATCAACTGCGTCTTATAAATTACATTCCACGCAGCACACGCCTGTTTACACACAAATAGTCCACAGAGAATCTTTTTGTGAAGTTACTACTTCCCTGATAAGGAGATCCTCACTTCTGAATTTTATTTAAGATTCCTTACATTGCTTTAAAAAAATTTTTTTTTTATAGCATATACCGACTTTGCCTCATCTTGCACGACAGTGGAGTGGGGTGTTGGGGGAAGGTGTGTTTGGCCCCGTTTGGTCACCCATCACCTGGGCCCCTCAGAGTTTCCTGTTTTCTTTCTTTGAGCAGCTTGGTTTCTCGGGGCCACAGAACAAGGCCCACAGTGAAGGTGGCCACTGTGAGGCAAGGAGGAGCATCCACAGCCCTTTTTTGCCAGCCCCACCTCCACGCCCATGGGCCGCAGGCTCGCAGGCAAGCTGAAGCAAACCTGCTCACTGATCCAGCAGGGGATCGTCAGCAGAGCTGTTGGGTCAGATGTGTTTGGAGATGGAATAAAAGAGCTCCAGCAGAGGAGTCTCCTCAGCTGCATAGAGGACCCTGGGCTCCATTAAGGGCAGCCAGATTCAACGGTGTGTGTGCCAGCATGTGAGCACAGGCGTGCATGTGCAAGCAGTGGTGAGGGGCTGCGCCTAGTTAACAGCTCCTCTCTCCTTGGAGAAAGTCTGAATTCAAGGTGATTTTTCATAGATCTTCTCATTTTGCTGAAGCCCAGTGCCACTGTGACCAAATAAAAAAGAGAGATAAATACAGAACGAAAAAGAGGTGTGTCTTGGTTGAAGGTAGGGGTAAGTGAGGGAATGGAGAAAGGTAGTTATACTTACCCTACAACCACAATTATAAAGTCTAGTAAATTCCAACCATTGCGGAGGTAAGCGTTGGGGTGAAAGAGAAGTCCATAGGCTATTACTTTTAAAAATGCTTCCACAGTAAAAATTATGAGAAAGAGATATTCCACTCGTTCCTAGGAAACAAAAATAGAAGAGAGAGGAAAATATAGCCGTTAGATCAGGGATCTGGAAAGTTCTGAACCGGCAGATCTCACAGTGGAGGGAACGCTGCCTCCTCCGTGGGAGGATCTAGGGGACACTTTGTGGGAGGCCCAAACCGAACTCCCACCTCCATAGCCCGTTCCACCATTGGAGCTCCAATGCACTAGGCATTAACGCTTTTTCTTAGTCTTCAAATGTCCCCTGTTAAAATGCAAATATCAGAGTGGTGGAAAACTTTCATTTTTTGAAGACATCTTACTTAGTTAATAAGTGAACATTTCATTGAAACTTCTCAGGAGAGAACTCATAATGTCTTGATCTAAAGGGAAACAAAGCCAGGAGGGAAGAGAAGGGTGCTGAGAAAGGGTGAGACAGAACTGGAGGAAAAACATGCCACAATCTTGAGGTGACAAACCCCGAAGATAACAGACGGGGCCTTGGGGAGCGTACCAGCTGAGCCCTCCACAACGACAGAGCGAAAACACAGCTGCAAAGAGGTCGCGACACTGAGAGTCTCGTAACGGCAGCTGAAACAGAGGCAACCTGCTCACAGGGACAGACTCCGAAATTTGAAATCTTGCTCCTTCTTGAGAAAATAAAACTCTGTCCAAAGAGCAGACCAGGTCAGTGGGGAAAATCAGCATTTCCGCACGAAGGCGGGCACTGGGGGCGGGGCAGTGAATGAAAAGGCCGGCTCTTTCTCAGGGGTGGGAGGGAATCTTCCCTCTGGAGGCTGTGAGGATGCAGCTCCTGTGCCCCGGAGCCCATGCCAACAGGACGAGCTCGTTGGCTCAAGTAGAGCGAGCCAACTCGGTGCTGATTCACCAGCTTCCCTCCCCACTAATTGCTGTTTCCTACAACCGCATCCCCAGTGCAGAGCCCGAACGGCTCCCACCAGCTGCAGGCCGCCTGGATGCCTTCATGCTCTGCTGCTCGTCTCTGCAGGAGCCTCAGCCTCAGCCTGTCTCTCGCTGGAGCCACAAAACCAGCCCACGTGGCATTCAGCCGCAGGTCCTCCAAGCAGGGCAGGTCTGTCCAAGGCCTCCAGGGGGCACTTAGCTCAGAACCCCACACTGATTTTCCTGTCCTCTGCTGGGTCAGGGGGCGCTCACTGAAGAGGTCCAGATCCCACCCCCATTGTGGAGAGGGGGCATTGCCCTGGAAGGCACACCTCTTCTGGCCTGCCTGCTGTGAGGGTGCTCCGGGACTGGGGCGTCAGGAGTCTGCTGGATAGCTCTGCAGGCATAGCTCTGCCCAAACGCGTGCCTGTGCTCCCATTCATTCCTTCCTGTTCCCCTAGACATTTAGTGAGTGCTGGCCTCACTGTGTCCAGCTCTGGGCAAAGCAGTTTGAGGATGCAAAGTTAAGAATGGAGAATGCTGGGCCTCACCCAGACCTACTGAAGTAGATCTCCTGGCTACGGAGCCTGGAAGTGTGCATTACAGGCCATTTCCAGGCGTTTCGGAGGCCTTGTGAAGTTTAAGAACCCTGCTCACGTGCTGCTGAAGGCTCAGATGAGGCAGGAACTCGGGAAGGGAACGGAGAGGTGGGATTTAATCAGCATCTCAGAGGCAGGCTTGTCTGTGACTTCCTGCCCATTATAGCATGAGAGTGTTGGTCTGGGGATGTGGCTGCCTGGTGGGGGCTGTGACCCAGGAAGATATCACAGTGTGTGGGAACCTCTGGTCTTTTAAAATTAGGTGATGTTGGGTTAAAATGTACATCGGGACAGTGTTGAAAGAGAAAGCATGTTACTGAGGGGCCCAATGCAACCTGAGGAAGCCTGTGGAAGGTGGGAGGGGGGTTATCAAACAGCCACTCCGCCCCCATCCCCATGATGGTTCAGAGCTTTCATGTTTAGCACCAAATGACAGGGTCCTCTGTACCCCTAGAAACCTCAGTGGAAATTCACAAAATTAGAGCTGGGACGAGAAGGGAAGACGAGGAAAGAGAAACAAACACAAGTTGGGGCCTACTAGATGTCAGGTGCTTTCATTGTGCTAATTGCTTTTATCTGTCTGTCCATTCATCCACCCATCCATCCATCCATCCAGTCATTCATTACACGTGTGGTACAACCAGTTGAATTATTGGAAAGTGGCCCTGGAGCTCCCTCTGGGTTGTGTAGACGATGAGCTTTCTGGGAGTGCTAGCACCCAAGCTCAGAGTATCTCCTCCCCAAGGCAGAGAGAACAGCAACATCCCAAAGGCTCCAAGGGTCTTACGTGCTGGGAAGCGGGCATTCCCAGACAACTTCTGTAAACAACTGGCATTCCCAACACAGACTGCCTGGCACCAAGCTGTGTGTTTATTCCCTCTTCTACAAAGCTGCTTTCCTTTACTTGATTTCCTATAAAAAGAGAAAGCCATGAGGGAGGAGGAGTCCCAGGTCCCTCCGCTGCAATGCAGACCCAGCGGCACTGTGAACCTGACACACCTCTTTGTGAGATGGCACACTGGGGGCCTCTGTGACTTCTCTGGTTAACCTCTGAATCCTTTTACATTTTCCCAATAAAGCCTATTCCTTAATCTACACAATGTGACATTTGTCTCACATCCTGGTACATAACACACAAAGATCCAGAAGGACCCATCTGACATGACAGTGAGTCATTCACTCAAAAATTCACCAACATGTTTAGATGCTGTGTGCTGGAGGTATGAGAAAAAGGACTCAGAAACTGACCTCAAGGATCTCTTGGTGGAAGGGGAAATAAATGGACAGATGATTCCAGTACAATGGGTATGGGGTATTCAGGAGGCAAGCAAAGTTTGCTATGGATGGACTTCCCAAAGGTAAGGATCTCTGAGATGAAGCTTGAAGGATGAAGAGTTGTCCAGGTGAAGACAGGTGGGGGTCAGGAGTCAGGCATTCCGGGTGGAGGGAGAACCAAGCAGATGGGAAGCATGCAGAGCTTTAGGAAACATAAACATTTGATGTGGCTGGAGTGAAGGCTGTGAGGGAACGGGGCTGGAGAGGAGGGTAGAAGCAAGATGACCAGGGGCTATGTGGCCATGCCTGGATGCTTGGATTCCACTCTGAGGAGACGGTGGATGACTGGGTCAGATGTGCATTGCAGCCTGGCACTGGCATGGGGAATGATGGTGGCGATGGGGCTGGAGTAAATGGGGGAGTGACCCATGCAGAGGCCATGGAGGCTTGAACCAAGGTAGAGACAGTGGGATTGGTGAGAAGGAAGTGGATTTGAGAGAGATAAGGGATGCAGTTTGGTTTCTGGTTGCACGCAGGGGTTGGGGGAAGAGGCAGTGAGAGAGTTGCACTGCCTGCCTCCCTGAGGTTTCTAATTTGGGTGCCTCTGGATAGTGATGTCTCTCACTACGGTAGGGAACTTGAGGAAGAGGATGAGGGGAGAGACATCCCTTCTGGACTTGCTGAATTTAAGGGACAGAAAGGGACATGGAGGTATTGGTAAGGTGGGGCTCAGCGGGGAGGTCAGCTGGCAGGGGAGGGCTGAATGAGTTGGCCTGGAGAGAGTGCAGAGCAAACAAAGAAAAACTGAGGCTAGAATCCAACTCTGTAAGGGACAACCTCATCCCCAAGAAAGCGCTTTCACATTATGGGAATTTATCTCCTAGGCAGAAGTTACAGGATCCTGCTTAGAGCCATGGAATCTGAGAGATAGGAGCCTTAGAAGTTATCTAATTAACCTCCACTTGATACTGATAGATACCGAGGCAGGGAGGGACATGCAAACACAGGAAATCAGATTTCCTGACCCTCAGTCCAAAGGTCCATTCATCTCATTTTACCTCCCTGGGCACCAGGTGAACTGGTGCCTGCTTATTCGCAAAGACACAACTGGGTCAGACTCATGCGAAATTGTTTAAGGATCTGAGATAGAATTGGAAAGGGACCAGGGAGTCAGTCAAAAGGGTCTGGACGAGAACCCAGAGAAGTGGCCTGTGACTGTTGCACAATCTGGATCACAGTCATCTGTGCAGCGTGTGTGTGTGTGTGTGTGTGTGTGCGCGCGTGTGCGCGGGTGTGCTGACAGCTGTGCAAAAAGCATTGCACTCACTTTGACCTTAGGGACATGAATGGCCTTACAGAATTAATTCCAGAAAAACCTCCTAAGCCAAAAAACAAATGAAAAAACTTACATAAGTGAAACAACTTGGCTGATCCTTTCAAAACCTGTGTTGTATTGCCATAGAAACATCTAAGGGCAACTATGAATGGAGTGGAGAAGAGCAAAGTTTGTCAAAGACTATTGTCTTGCCACGCTGATGTCTCGGTACCTTGGTCCTGTGAACACACGCTATTTTTCCTATTATTGCCTCCTCTCCATTTCTATCTTCTCCCTTTCTTCCCTCTCTTCCTGCTCATTTCTTAGGGCTACCACTGGCAACTGGGGGCCCATGGCACAGCCACGTCTGAAATATGTAGAAGAATTCAGGAGAGACAGCCTCTGCTCCCAGGAATCATGATGTCTTCTAAACACTTGTGAAGCTTATGAGACACTGATGAGCACAGGCAATCGTAGCTTCATTTATGTTTTCATGTACACATATCCTGCCTTTCAACTACATTATAAGTTTCTAGAGGACAGAAACTCAATGATCTTTGATGGTAATCATCTTGATTCTGCTACCAACTGACTCTGCATGTCCTTGGGCAAGTCACTTTGCTTCTCTGGGTCTATTTCCTCATCCGCACAAGAACTAGTTAAGTATTTAGAAAATATATGCAGCACTGCAGAGAGCTCCGGGTTTCCCCAGCACTGCTTTGGAAGCAGTTATCGGTTAGGGGAGGCTGGGAAAGTGGGGTTTGCCTCCTCACCCCTGTGAACCAGAGCAGCGCCATTTTAACCCACATGCTAAGTTGTCCCAGGGTCCTAACACAGTTGCATAGAGTCCACGGAGCCAATATGATGGGGTGTGGATAGAGAACACACACACAAAAGAAAGCAGCATGTTCTCCTGACCAGCCTGGAAGGCTTCATATGCTGGG